CAGGAGATTGCAGGTGTCTCTTACTCCTGGCGGGATAAGTTCACAGCGGCACTCGTCTTTGCTGAGGGACAGGTATGTGGTCCTGGGCAGTTGGTCCCTCTGACTCCACCGCCTCCCAATCCTCTGTCCCATCCACAACTCCATCTGACTGCACGTAAGCGAATGCACCCATTTTTAACTGAGGAGGAGGAGCACTGCCCTGTGTGTGTACCAAGCGTTGTGAACCCACCAGCGCATGTGAATAATGCATCCACAATTACAGAAAAATACTGTGCCATTGTTGGTCAGTCGCTCTTTAGTGCCTCAGGATAGCAATGCACCTGACCACACCTCATTTTAAGACCAACATGGGCTCACAGATGGGCTCAATAATGCTACTTACACAACATAAACACTGGGCGTAAAGATGACAACTGCACGGCGCTTGGTGCCAGGTGTAAGATAAGACCCTCACAGGCTTTTTTAAGAAATAACATCATGGCAGAGGAGTAATTGTTGTGTTGAAATTAACAATGCCTAAAAACGGCCCCTCCCAAAGGAGTCAAGCCCTCAGTCACAGAGGCAGAGGAGATATAATCTACCAAGAACACTAAATTAATCGAAAGCGATAACAAAAATAAACAAAAAGGCACAAGCATGTTTTATCATTTATGTTAATAGATATTGCAAAATAAAGAAAATTTCAAATCTGACAAAAATAAAAGTAAAAAATCTGAAAAATTAATAATTTAGGAATAAAGCACTGTGAGGTGTTTCTGATCTGAAACGATAATATCATGGCCAAGAAGTACCAAGGCAAACTGGACTCCATAAATATCACTGAAAGTCTTCTATTCTCTACAAACAATGGAGTAGCCCAAAAAAGAGAGAGTAATTGCCACTTTCCTAAAAATACAATCACGCTTTGGCTCTAGAGCTCCCAGTAAACTTTTAGCAAATCAATCTGCCAAAACGCTTCCTGGGAATTCCCAAAAGCATTAAACATAATACTGTAGCTGGAGTGAGAGCGATTATGTAACAAGTATTTATTTATTCATTAACGTCCATTTCACTCATTTCACTGGGAATTGGGAGTTTGTCAGAGCTCCAACTGCTATGGCACAACAGCAGCTGGCTCCTTCAGTCTGCACGTCGCTCCGTCACTATCACCAGGGTTCCTTTCTGTCAAAAGGATCGGAATACTGGGGTGTCAAAAAATCTAAAAGTTGGTCTGTGGTGCTCCATTGTTATTACAGTAGACTCTAAAGGGGCTTTAACACCTAACTTGTTTGGTGCAATTCAGATTTTGTGTGTGTTTGTTGAGGATGGTGTGAAAGCTGTTAACTGAACTCTTGTCATCCCTGTGAGGTTGGCAGGCGACCAGTGGAGACTGCAGGAAGTGACCGGCCTCGCCAAGAAATAGTTCCAGGATATCACTCCCCATAAAACCACAAACTGTCTGATTAAACAAATGACAGAACCGTTTCCCCCAGCCTCCAGGGTTTGTGCTAAGCTAAGCTAACTGGCTTGAGCGACCATCAGCGAGAAGATTGGCTATTTCTATATAATTATTCTTAGTTGGATTCGCCTTGAAATCAATGAAACGAGTCGGTAGAAACACTACCACTTTTGTCCACAGGGGCCGCCAGAATCAACACAAAATGAAAGCTCCTTGTAAGGGCTTTAAGTCAAGTTTTACACAGTTAAATAGCTCTCTGTAGCCATTCATCTGTGGTCTTTCGACAGCAGCTTGTGCTCATTGTCACTACTGACTGACTGAAATATGGATGTGAAGGAACATAACAGTACACCAAACGCCCAGATCTGAACAGCCTTTTGGAGTTTTTTTGAAGCCTTTTGTAAAAATTCTTAAAGCAGAATTTGTGAATTGTATTTCGAGTTGTTTTAATACTGATACCAATATCAGGTATCGGGCAAGCACTAATCGATCCGATCCCACATAATTTAACCCAGAAAAGGGACCCTGCTACTTCCCAACAGTGTCCTGTTCGCCATTTCATGACCCGCCCTACTGTGACTTTAACAAGGATAGCAATCTTACAGGGTTAGTTAAGATACTGTATATGTTATAACGTATGTATCGGACTATTACCCAGTATCAGTAGACAGAGAAATTTCCGATATCGGAATCGTAAAAGAATAAATGGTATCGAAACATCTTTAAATTGTATTGGGTTGGTCGGGTTTAATCACATTATATCAGTTACTGGAGTTGTTCCTACAAGCCTGATGGGAACATCCTTCTTAAAGAGCCTAAATCAAAGAGAACATGAAAACAACGTGAGTGAGCGAGGTGTGAATGAGCGTCCTGATTTTTATGTACTGGAGGGAAAAAAAGGAACTAATTCCAAATCTAATTGCATATCTAATACATCACCTTGCAAGCCAACTACAATCTCCTTCGCCAGAGAAAATATAACATGATGTAAAATTCAAGAGCGCAGTGAGAGAGGGATGGAAATAAAGGAAAGACAGACCGACAGAGAGACCACCCACCATGCCGGTAATTGATTGCTGTGTCGACTGTGTTTGACACCGCTGCTCTTTAGCGGCGGGATCAGAGCAGCCCCCCCCCCACACACACACACACACACACACAGCATACCCAGAGGTAGCAGAGTGCAGGACAGGCATGACTAATCAATCGTCCTCGCAGCAGGAGTCAACAGGCTGACTAGAGGATTAAAGAGTTTCCCCTTGAGACTCCAGATTCATCTGTGGCACTGCATCACTGCTACACATCCACCAATCATCGGATCATTCAGAGAGAACATGCATTCCTCAGTTTTTCCCACCAATCCTCCGCTGTGTTGGACATCAGAACTGTCCCCAAACATAAACGCTGAGCATAAAAATGACCGAGCACTCAGGTAAAATCACTACAAGTACTCCATTACTCCCCAGAACTACCCCAACCTATACTGACATCAAATATTTTATCATATCAAGACAGTGACAATGTGATAGTTTAGTGACAACTATTGGTCTATTTCATAAGATACAATTTCAGAAATAATCGTCAGAAAGGTTTATAAGACAGTCATGAATCAGTACACAGAATGCAACGTCTGCAATGTGTCAATCTAAAGTGACCACTTCCAAAAGACCCGGTTCACAGCATTATCGACTGACAGGCTAATGAACACATGAGGATAGGAATCATCTGCTGCGATGATAACACAGTAAAATAATCTATACTGTCAAACAGTTCATCAAACAGACTGGGACCTGAGAGCCTCTGAAATCTGTTCATTCTTTAAAAAACACACTGTTAAAACACATAAAAACCCAAATTCACCAAACTAAAATGAGCCCTGTTCTTCATCAACCATTTGTTCATTTCACTCTACAAGAACAGGACTTAGACAGGGACAATATTTGAGCAATATAATGATAAATGATAAATAAAAATTGCAGACACTGTTCAGTTTCATATCAGGACTTGAGAAGTTTGAAATTAGAAAACACTCATAAGTATCTCATATTTACGGAGCCCCTAAAGGGACATGGGGGGGAAAAATGAAAATGAAACGTTTCTCGTGCTCACGAAAATCTTGCGCACAAGATCCCTCTCCTGCCCACTAGATACAGGCACAGCCTTAAGCCAGACACATGGCTAATTTTAATATTCAAATGAGCCATGTGTTGATTAGCCACAACACCACCAGGCTGTCAATCAAGCGTAGGTTGTTGGTTGTACAAATATGGACTTTTATTGTTGAATTTCTCCAAATTATGGAATATAATAATTATTAAATAAAAGAAATTTAATTAAATATCAACCTAGACACCACAACACAACACCTGCTCATGCTCAGTTGCTTTCACCAGGCTGTCAATCAAGCGTAGATTGTTGGTTGTACAAATGTGGACTTTTATTGTTGAATTTCTCCAAATTGATGCAGTAAAAATGCTTGATATTAAGTATGTTTTTAATTATCATGGTCGCATGAAACACTTTAATGTAACATTTTATTTTAAATGTAGGTTCGAATTATAGCTTACTGTTCTTAATACCCTTATTTTGAAAACCGGAAGTGAATACTGTTTCTCCGCAATTACCATAATGCTGAGAATATATTATATTTAATAATTATTATATTCCATAATTTGGAGAAATTCAACAATAAAAGTCCATATTTGTACAACCAACAACCTAAGCTTGATTGACAGCAACTGCATGAGGGTGTTGTGGCTAATCAACACATGGCTCATTTGAATATTAAAATTAGCCATGTGACTGGCTTAAGGCTGCACCTGTATCTAGTGCACACCAGATACTTTCTCCTGCTCACTAGATAGTATCTTGTGCTCATGAGATATGGAGTCATAGTGGAGATATTGATGTAACACTCCCTCTGCCTGTGTTGCCATCGCAGCCTCTCTGTGTTCTGTTTACGAAACCTGCCTGCTCCGTGTGCTCCGCATCTATGGCGGTAAATTAAGGATTCATTTTGAGTTGGTGATTGTTGGAACAGTGGAAAGATAAACAAAGACAGATTTGGCGAGTTTCATAATGTTTCTGTCCACTTTGAATGAGGTTATGATGTTACGATGATCTGAGAGGTAAAATTACAGTTTTTGTGTATGGAGTCTGGTGGTGAGCAACAGAGATATTACGACTGTTTCGTGTATCTTGGTCTGAGATGTATAAATAACCTTTAAAGTAATGTTAAAACAATGAAGAGATTAATCAATTAGTCAATCTAAATGTAATAATTGACTTAATCTAAATTTAGAATCATATTGTCAGACTTTTGACCTCACAATAATGAAGTGGCTTCTCATAAAGTCAACTTTTTGACAAGAGTCATATTCATGATAATACTGTAGTACTGTAGAGAATGTAGAGGGCATAATTATGTGATACTTGTGAGTTTAGGGTTTTTGGGTTGTTTTTCTCATATTTGGGGCAATATGTACTTCAATATGCAGCTGATTTGATGTCTTTATGTCTCATTAGTCATGAGTGGACATTTTAAAGAACATGCTTCACTTACTGATCTGCGACACCTTCACCGTCACAGGGGCGGACATTTTCTCAGCTGCCATGTGCCACCTCCCTCCACCTCCCGCGCTCCTTCCTCCTTTCTCGATGAAGGCTCGGATACGGCAGGCGTACGCCCCTCCGTCCTCCCCGCTCACCCCCTTCACCCCCAGCTTGTATTCTCCGGCTCCCGTCCGCTCCAGACTCGCCTCCCCTCGCTTCCCTTGCGCTCCGCTCGAGGACGTGTTCGAGATCACCACCCCGCTGCGCTCCATGGTGATGATATCGCGGCCGTCCGCCAGCCAGGTCACTTCCAGGGCCAGGGCGGGCAGGTTGCTGGCGGTGACGGAGCAGAGGAGGGTCAGCGCGTTACCGGGGGAGAGGAGCAGAGACGTGGAGGAGGGAGAGGAGGAGGATGAAGCCGTCACACTGAGGGACTGACCTTGAGAGGACGGAGACAGAGAGAGTGTCATTATCTTTATGTGTCCAGGCAATATTGTGCATAAACAAGATGAAGATGCTTTAATAAGCCCTACAGTTTAAAAGATCCTTCAGCATTCTGCACAAAAAACAATCATGCTGGACCTCGTAATCAAGACTAATCACTCAGCGAGTACAGTAACATGTACAAAATAGAAAATTAGCCGACTTTTAATTTTTCTTTCAACTGAACATGGGTAAAGAATGCCGTTTACGCGGTTACATTCCACTGATTCTTATCCAGAAAAGCTTAAGCTGAAACAATTATTAGGCTGTTTAATTAGCGTACTGAAACAAAATGAATCCATTAATGACTAACAACTGTATTGACGATATTAAGGAAATACACACAGGTGGAAACACAAAATCATGACATGTGGCCACACATGACAAAATCTACATTTGTGATTTCACATATTTTTCATGTCTTAATTGACAGATGAAGATGATTTTCTTGTTTTTCATGTTAAATATCAGATTTACACTGAATCAAAGCACACATTATTAAAACTTTGTTAATATTATAGTAAACATTATGATTTAAGCCTAAAATTGACACAACAGGTTGATTTGAAAATAAAAGTTGCAGTATTTCCGACTCCAGATGTTGACGCATTTTACTCTTGACGATACTGAATGTAAAAAGTACATTATCTGCATCGGATACTTTCAGCAGAGTACTCGCTCAAATCTGCTATCCATTGATGGGATGCAGAAGGAAACAGGTGGAAAAATGAAAGATAAGAAGAAAGTGAATGAATTTAGACTGAAAACCATCAGAGGCAAAGTTATGTGAAACTGGACAAGATGAGAGTATTCCTGAAATGTCAGAGATTTAAGGTGCTCAGGTGTGTGTCTGGTTTCTCTCAGCAGGGACGCTAAAGAAGAGCTTTCTATTAAATCCTTTCTATTAAAAAAGACCAGCAGAAGAAAAACAGTTGTCAGTCTGTTCTGTGTATCTTCAAACCAACAGTTGGATCAGGGGGGTTTGGACTCGGTCTCCAGTAACAACCTGGGCAGCAGTATGTGGGGAAGCGTCTCTGTATGGTGTCTGGAAAAGGACAAAAGAGACAAAGCCCACTGTGTTTGACTTTTCTCATCCTCTTTACTCAAGTCAGTAAGTCAATATGAACTGACTGGGACACAATGGACCCGAGACCAAGACCTCTGTGTGTGTGTGTGTGTGTGTGTGTGTGTGTGTGTGTGTGTGTGTGTGTGTGTGTGTGTGGGTCTCCGGTTTCATTACAAACTGCTGGGTATTTTCTAGCACTTAAGAGGATATGGTATCCCAGAAGGATATAAGATATGGTGACCACAGCAACCATAATGAATGAGTGAGAGAGAGAGAGAGTGTGTGAGTGAGTGAGTGAGTGAGTGAGTGAGTGAGTGTGTGTGTGTGTGTGTGTGTGTGTGTGTGTGTGTGTGTGTGTGTGTGTGTGTGTGTGTGTGTGTGTGTGTGTGTGTGTGCAGTGTGAGAGAGAGTCTAGGGGGCCTCTCTGAGGACAGAATAAGACAGAAAGAAAGACAGACAGTGAGGGTCACGCGGCTCCTGGAACAGAGCGAGGAAGAGAAAAAGACAAGAGTCTCACAGAGGAGAGGATGACATTAAAATAAAAGACAGCCATACAACGGAGAGAGAGAACTCTCCCACGTCCCTCCCTCTCTTCCCATCCTTCATTTTCTTCCCATATCAATCACTCCATATCCAACACAGTAGACCAGTGGTTCTCAGACTGCCGGGCATAGAGCTACTGCAGGGGGGCGTGGATGGGAAAAATATAGAGTGGAAGAAAGTTGAAGGAATATGATAAATATGATATTTTGCTGATGCTATTGTGCGGACCTTTATGTCACTAAAATTCAACTTTGATCCTTTTTTTATTTGCTAGTTACTTCCGCTATCATTGTTAATGACTGGCAGAAATTGTGGGTTGGTGGGGCGGGAACTGTCTTCTGCTTCTAAAGGGTTTGACAACCACTGCAGAAGACACAGTAAACTGTGAAACACATGTAACCTTTTTCATCCTCGGCTAAGACTCAATTCGATGCTATGTTGTAGCCCATAGCGTAGTGTCACCGTCGCGATCAATGTGACAAGTAGCAACATGTAGTCGCAGGAGAGAAAGAGGATCACAGACACACTGCTGCCTGTAGTATTCCTATGATATTTCTATGATCATTCAGTAGCGTCTGTGCTGCTGAAAATACATCCCCAGAAATAAGAAGAGTAAGTGCTGTTTTGGTGGATTTATATACGCCAAATTGAACACCGGCTCATAACACTGGCAGCTCCATCTTTTCGCTATTGATAGTCCAACAAAGGACTTATGGCCTTATTTTCTTGAGTAGGTAGATTATGAGGTATGTATGTACAGGGTTTTAGGATGGAATCTATGAGTTTTACACAAAACTGGGCCTGTTAACATGTATAAAAACAGACTATATGGCCTATAGTATACTGTGTCCCCTGTTTTAAATGTCATTAAAGGGGTGACATCGCTGAGAGCTGCTTCCTGTCTCTCATCCCGCACTAGTTGCTAGAATATTGTACTTTATTCTCCACAACCATTTGGGGTCCCACAGGAACCCCTCGCGACATATTGCGTGGATCCAGGTGTGCCGAAATCTTCACTTTCAGTCTGCACACACTGACGCTTCCAGCACCTTACAAAAGATTTAGCCCGCATATCTTATTCCTTAACCATTTGCCGAGCCCTGGAAATTATCCTGTGACCCTTTTGGGGGCCCGACCCCGAGGCTGAGAGGCATTGCATTAGCTGAATCGCTCTCTTGTTGTCTACACCAAAACAATTACCATAGAGAGAGAGAAATACAGCAACAGCGGCTTTTTAAGGACACCAAATGATAAATAGACATAAATAAAATGACACCACCTCTCCTACACCACCCTGTTAAATCCCCAGTGTAAACACTGCAGCAGCCAGTTTTAATGAACTTCAAGTCCACGACTCTGCTTAGCAAACTCATAAAAAGGTAGGATTCTAAGGTTCTGCAGTAATATTAAGGAACTACACTACAATATGAGTTCCAGTGAAAATAATGTAGTCTAGTAATCACTGAATGAACGCAAACGAATGGTGATTTAGGAAAACTAAATTATTTAGAAAAAGAAATATAAGTGCAGGTATTTTAGCAATTATTAAGGAGAAATAATGGTAACTGTGAACTGTGTTAGCCAACTGCCAAAAATATATTTATACATAAATATCAACATTTATCAACATCAGAATGTAGTTTCTATATGTTTTGTAACACTACTCTGCCACTGATTGGGCCGGACCCTGACATTTTTTAACCATCTCACCACTCCTCATGCCTAACCCTAACAAAGTCAGCCAATCAGAGACATGGGTGGAAAAATGTCACGTTTATTTGACATAGGCCTACTATAACTTAAAAACATTTTTTGTTTCATTTATGAATCTAACATTAGCCTATAGTTTGGCATTTTGATATAAATGTCATTACATGTTGGCCGCAGTCTCTTCTGTGACCCAACCAGCCCACCAACCATATTTGAAAGTTCAACTTCCTTCACGTTCACTCTTTGTTTGTGCTGCGACTGCTGGAAACACTTGCACAGCGGTGCTTTGAGCTAAATGCTAACGTCTGCATGCTAACATGCTCATAATGACAATGTTTATAATGGTCGCCATCTTAGTGAAGCCTGTTAACATGCTAGCAGTTTCTAATTGGCATTAAACACAAGGTCGGGCTGAGGTTGATGAATGTCATTAGTTGGGCAGGTATTTGGTCATAAACCGAAGTATTGGACTAATAAACATTTTGACCTAATGACAGTGCTGAATGAACAGCAGGGATCACCATTATCTGTGTCGAAATGTCTTTCTGGACCAACTGACCAACATTTGAATCCCCAGAGCCACGCTGCTAGCTCTGCTGAAAATAGAGTCAAATCTTATTGAAGAAAAACTGCATTTACTACTGCCACACTGATAGTGACAGTGACAGTGCTCTAGAATTCTCTTACCTGTAGGAGTAACAGTTACAGTCCCCATCTCCTTTTTACTCTCAACGATTTTTATCCATTTCCCTCCGTTTTCATGCGTCCATTCAGTTCCATTGCATTCATAAGCCCCTTCATCGGAAGACGTCACTCTGGTAATCACCAACTCAAACAATCCATTCCTCCCAGGAACCAATCGGATGCCTCCGTCGGCGTAGCGCCGGGCGAACTTGGGCCCCGCGACCACCTCTCCCTGAGGGCCGAACGTCAAAATGTCCTCCAATGTTCCTCCCTTCTTCACCGACCAGGTGACGGACAGATAGGTGGGGTGGGTGAGTTGCCGGGTGACGTTGCAGGACAGGGTGATGTCACTTCCTTCTGGCACGACTGGGATTAGGGGCTGGGGGGAGACACTGAGGGTGTTGGGGATGACTGGAAGAGACGAAAGAAAAAAAAATAGGAATACATTAATAACACTAACACTCAGGTGAATACCAAATTCAGTGTTTTCCAACTTTTATTGTGTTAGGACACATTTTCCAAAAAGGAAATATTTTGTAGAAAAACAAATGTCTTAACTGGGGATAGACTGATCATTTTATTGTCATTTAACATTTGTCCGATTACACGTATCATTTTGTTTGTTTTTATCCAATTGCTGATAAACTAGAATAAAAATGTGCTACATGGGCTGTGATGCAGCTGCCTCTCTGTCTGTAGTCTCGCTCAATGTCCCGCCCACAGCACTATCTGATTGGTCACGCATCACAAGTAATAGAGTAATACGCTTTTTAAGATCGCATGGAAAAGTTCACTTTGGCAACATTTAATTAAGAATATGCTGAAAGTACTCTACGTAGTACTTTACTGAAGTAAAAGTGCAAAAGTATCAGCATGAAAATATACTTAAACCTGTTAGACCCGACGGACAGGGTCCGGCGAGCGCTACATGCTTTACTGCCTGTAAAAAGTTAATAAAACGCTGTGGTGTTTTTTTTTTTTAAATGTTTCCAAAAGACGAGGCTTCAACTCTGTCAAAACAACGGTCCAAGTGTATTTTTCTCAAACACAGTTTGTTTGGCAATAATTTAAACAATTGACAGTCGAAATGAAACGCAGCAGTTCACATATATCTGCCCGCTCGACTCAGTCATGTTAGGTGTCAAATTAAACTAGAGAAGCTCATCTTAACCTAACCCTAACCTTAACCCATCTAACCCTGATACCAAGCAAAACATAATCCGACCTAACCAGCTCATGTCAGCCCCGTAGCAAAGACGCAGCAAAATTTAGCATTTTATCGTCAAAATGTGAACTTCTGTGTTTATGTCTCAATATTCCATCATATAACAAAGCAATTGTCATCAACAGCGACAAATATTGTTTCCTTACCCTTTCTTGGTCATTTTGAGTCTATCTGGCTACGGCTTAACAGGTAAAAGTACCAAAAGTAAAAGTGTAACGGCCCATTTCAGAATAATATGTACTATACTGCTGTATTATAATTCTTGATGCATTAATGTGTTCATTACTTTAATGTTGCAGTTTTGAGAGGGAGGGAGCTTAATCTATAATCATCATTTATTTATATTTCGTGTGAAATGTGAATCTGTAAAGAACCTAAAGTTATTAAGTAAATATAGTGCAGTAAAAAGTACAATATTTGCTTCAAAAATGTAGTGGAGTGGAAGAATAAAGTAGCGTAAAATGAAAATGCTCAAGTAAAGTACCTCAAAATTGTACTTACTTGTACTTAGTAGTAGATGTAGTAAGTGTACACTACACCACTGGTTATTCTACATTTTCACACTAAAATAATTTTTACTGCAAATGTACATCAGCTCAAAATATCGGTTTCTTTGATTACCAATAATTGGTGTCTGTATTGGCCCTGAACAAACCATATCGGTCAATCCGTAGTCTAAACACTGAATTACTGCCTGTATGGAAGATCTATTTGCTCGGTGTGTCTGTGTACTTTGCTGAACTTCTGATGGTGCTTCCTTTGCTAGTATTCTGTAATCCTGCAGCTGCTTCACAGTAAAAGCCTTCTGCTGATGAGAAGTTGAGTGACAGTGGCAGCCAGCAGTTTAGAACAGGTTGGATAGATAGTCATGTTGGTTGAATCAACTTTTGGACATTTTCGGTCGAGCGCTGCCGGCACCTTTTGGAGCTTACCTCAAACCTCTGGCTCATTAAAAAACTAAATAAGTTTATAATGCTGCTTAGATTCCTTTTTTCCTTTATTACTTTTTTCTTGTTCTTTGTACAGAGTTTGGTGGATAATCAGCAGCATATTAGCATTTTCTCCCCAGTTTTTGTCACGGTCTATTACTGGAGGCATATTCTGAGCTGTGTGCGAGAAGATCGTATTTACTGCAATGCAACTGCTCAGTTTCTGGGTGAAAATCAGCACACAAAAAAATAAAATTAAAGCAATGACATAACGACATATCAAGGTAAGCAATGCCTTTTCTTGTGCCGCTGTACCTTCTCCAACTCCCATCCTTCGACGCTTTGATGTTAAAAAGGGGAAAACTCTGTATACGTATAAGGAATAAATTGTGAGGGATGTCTGATTAAAAAACGGACATGTAATAAATGGAGGTGAATGAACACCAAAATAAAGGTTTAATATCCAAGCTTCAAACATTAAATGCAGGTATTATTAGGAGGAATGACCGAATCATAAAATAATGTATACTTATACTACAATATACCTCATTATGACACACTTAAGTTAACTATGAGTCAGATACGGGTTATACTTAAAGTCGGGGTAGGGTTAAGGTTAGGGTAAACTTCCAGTGATTCATGTCAGTCAACATAATGTTTCATACAGTGTCAAGGTCAATGGCTGTAGGAGAGTGAACAAACAAACAGCTCCGGATAAAGCTGTAAGCTGTGTGTGTGTGTGTGTGTGTGTGTGTGTGTGTGTGCGTGCGTGTATATATGAAACACACCCAGAGGAGTGTTCATAAAGGTTAATGGCTTAGTTGCTCAGGTAACACCGGAAACTCTTTCACTCTGGGCGTGTTTTGCAGTGATAATGAAATGGTTCCCGTTTGCTGGATATCGGCTCTCTGTTTCCTGGAACCGTCCAGCTGGTACATGCGACACTCAAGACTGTGAGCAGGTCTTAGCAGAGCCGCTTTTCCCTCTGCTTTGTTCTTGTTACGGCACATAAAGAGAGCTCATGAGTCACTCTGTGAGAGGAAATTAAAAAAGTGGGGAACTTCTCCCTGCTGGATGTATCCTGTTGGGAGCACGACTTTGCTTTTGCTTCCACAACAACAACAACAACAATAACAATAAAATTAAGTTTCACCTCTGCTTTCCTCAACAGGGAAAGTAAAAGAAAAGACATTAGATGCTTTGATGAATGGCATGTCGGTAGTGAAGACACAGGGGGTTAATAATAAAACTGAGTGGCAGGCTCAGTGTTGTTGGATGACTGCTACACAAACAGCCTCTGTTTTATCACCGCAGACTTATTTTGATTCTTTACATATGAGAACACAAAATGCCATCAAAAAAAGTGACTTATGAGTGAGGGTCCACATATGCTACACTGACTTCAGGTATGATATTTCATCCACTTACAAACACAGTAATACAGTAATCGCAGCTCTAAACTCTTTCCAGGTTGAAGTTTCAACCCAAAATACTTTACATAAATGGTGAATAATCCCTTCTGGAAGCTAATGGTCGTGTTACAAATGAATCCAAGAAGTGGCAGATGGCTGGGAATGAGAAGTACGAGGCTGTGCATTGTGGGAATTACATTCATGACACATTCACGTCCTGTGGGAAAGACCGATTTTTAAGCATTCAGGAAAAAAAAAAAAAAAAAAAAAAAAACCCTGCTCATCTCAGCTTTAGAAGCTAAATAAAAAGGCTAATTTAAAAGGAAGCAGTGACGGAAAAATGACTAATGGACGAACAGAGTGGAATGTCTCATGACTTCATCCAGTCTGTTTTTTTATAATGATGCCATCACCCTGTGAAAACATTATTAGCAATTTCATTTTGAGACCTTGCCCTCTTCTTAAGTCCCGCCCCTTTTTTGCTCTGTGCTCAAAAGCTGAGCAAACCTCAGTTAGCTTCCTTCTTTCCTGTACCTAGATATGCTATGTGCTAGGCTAGTCTATGTTGAAAAGACAACCACATTTGGAAGAAAAAGATAAAGATAAAAGCGGCATAGTTAGCTACAGAGAAAAATACTTGCTAACTAGCCGGCTAATCTACATCAATCGTTAGCTAGCCATTTATATCTGACAGCTGTGGTTGCCAAAATGCTAGCTAACCAACTAGTTAACTTCTATCAAAATTAACATTAGCTCATGTGAGACGTGACAACGTGTCGCTTTTATCCTTTACCCATCTTCAAAATGTGGTTGTCTTTTCAACATAGCCTAGCACACAGCCTATGGATAGGAAAGCAGAAAGTTGACTGAGGCTTGCTCAACTCAGCACAGAGCCAAAAGGGGCGGGGCTAAGGAGGGGTCAATGGTGTTTGCACTGACAGGCTGGGTTACCAAAAACAGAGCTACGTCTCCTGACATGATAACTTGTAGTTGTGCAATAAAGACTGATGTGGTCCAGCAGGACAGGAATGTGTGAGCCACCAGGTCAGAGCCGGCAGGAAATCTACTTCTCCAGGAAATCATAATCCATCACTTTATCCATGTTCAGAGGCTTTTTGTCATTTAACCATTTTTTTTCCCAGTCGGGAATGCCATCAGTTGCACCACATGTTTTCAACACGTTGAATGGATAGAGGAGTGTCAGGAATATAAGAACCATGATGGGATATTCTGAGCCTTATTAAAAGTTTTGTTCCAGACCTCTGTATCGCCCCCACAGCTCAGATTTTTTCAGTGTTTCCAAATAGGTGACCGAGTTGTTCCCACTGTTCCCAATTCTGACAAGCTATAGTCATGTCGTCGCCCATTTTCATTCTTGACGCCCCACGTCTGTCGGGTCGCACTACCATCCGGCTGATATCGCATAATCTGAACCCGGCATAGGTTGAAAGGCCAATTAAAATCTGTGGATTTATAAGATTTTAAAAAAATGTCTGCCTGGCTTCAGTTGCTCCGACTCCAGGAGTGTCTGCATGTCTGTGTCTTCAGATCTGAGTGTGTTATGACTGAGAAAAAAAAGATTTGCGTCGAGTTCAGAGGGTTAAAGCACTTTCATTGGAATCCTTATAAAGTGTGGATGTACCAGGACACTACTGGACACCAATGAGACTCGTAGTGGAGGAGTATTCAGTACCGCTGCTGTGCTGCAGTGATGCGAGTGTCTGTGGCAGATAACGAAGGCAGTGCGAATAATCGTGCGTTTTGCTCTATCAATTAAAATTAGCCTGAAAGGAGTTTTTCAAACCCTCAGCGACCTGTACTTCACTGGCTTCTTACATAACCAAACAGCCTCAGTGGGGCAGTGCGCGTGCGTGTTCAGGGGTGTGTGAGCGCTGATGAACGTGGTGCACAAGTCTCGACTGGTATGGACCCTCCGGCAGCAATTCTAACTCATCATCTCTGTTAACGCCTGACAGTCTCGTTCACACACACACACACACACACACACACACACACACACACACACACACACACACACACACACACACACACACACACACTCTCCACTTCGCGCTACAAAATACACAGCTCACTAATACATACGCTCTACATACACACGACACAATCTCTCTGGCACATAAACAGCGCTGCCTAGTTAATTCAGGTCTAAATTTAACAAGGTGTCTGGGGACCCGTGCTGGGAAGCAGAGAGCAGCTGAACATGATGGTGCATTATGGAGCTAACTAACCTGCTGTCAGACAATCCCTCTTTGTGACTTCATCCCTCAACTTTTAAGGTTCAGAGCAGAAAATGTTCCTCGAACTCCTCTTATGTATAGAAAATACCCTGTGTGTTTGGGCTTGGGTTAACAGTGGATTTAAAACGGTACCGTCTCCAATATATGTGTGTAATTACTGATTGGATAACTGAGTCAAAACCCAATTAAATTCAAAGGAAAATGCTGAATTTGGGTTTCTCGCTTTCCCTCTGTTTCTGTGTCAGAAAATAGTCCAAATTAAAACAGTACACAGTGAGCTATGTAGTTGATCCGAGGTAACCAGAATATCATTTCTGGACAGAGCTCCATTGTATGTGAGTGGAAACACATGGGGAACCCTTACAAAGAAGACCTGAACTGGTAGCTCTTTATTTTACAGTCCGCCACTTACCTGGTATTTACTCTACATGATGGTATCAAACTAGAGTTAATAGGAAGTAACAAAAGAACTGGCTAGTAAGTACAAAGTTACAACTTGTTCCTGTGAGAATAAAATCTGCCGTAGTTTGGTGGCGTAAGGTTCAACGTTTAGCAATGATTGGTAAAACCACGATGATTGGTCAAATCTGGGGGAAAGTTGCGGTGATTTGACAAAACTGCAAGGTTGCACAGCATTCATGGGGATTGGTCGAATTTGCGTTAATTGTTGTGATTGCAACTTCCTGGAGGGACTGCATTTTGGAGTGGATCTGGATACATGACTTATTTTATACTTCCCGATGGCAAAAAGAACTGAATTCATCGTGCAGCGAAGTAACTTTGACGAAAACTCCAGCAAACCTTTACCAACAAGCTAAAATAAAAGCTGTCTGTATGAACTCTAACTGTTCCCTAGTTTCCCACGGAACTTTCAATTTGGCAAATGCTTGTAAACTCAGCTGCTGGCTGAGACAGCGGACACCCCTCTCTCTACCAGCGGTACCCGCAGGCAGTGAATCACAGCAGCAGCAGCAGCAGAGGGGGACAGATGACCTTGGTGGAGGTCTGCGCTCTCAGGTTGTCCTTCTAGCTTTATGTGATTTTATGTGAAGCTCTTACTCACTGAGGCATGGGGGGGATCTTTATAGCTGTTATTTCAGACAGAATTGTTTTGTTTGCAAGACATTTAAAATGATTTTGTAGCGATAACGACCCAAGCCAGTAAAATGGCTCACCGCAGCAAAAGAGTGGATCAGCAAATGTTTTTGGCCACTACCGGATCTGCCTAATGAGCAATCCAGCAGATCAGATCCGTGCCTCCCTAGTTACAAGCTGTATGACGGACACTGACAGATGCTAAATACACTAACAGCAACATAGTTTGTGAGGTTGCTAAAGGTGTGTACATCTTGGTGAGCAAAGTTGTACAAACTATTATCAACTGTAGGAAGTGTATCTAACTAAAGTAAAAATATATGTCATTTTAAAAATCGCAATATATTTCCTCGCCACAGTATCGCAATTTATCGCAAAGGATTGAAACATAACCACTGTGTCGTAATGCCAATACACAGCCCTATTGAAAACGTTCCCACTCATTATAGCTCCCTTATTACTAGAGAACCGTGTTGTTTAACATTTGTCCCCGTGGGGTGCTTTCATTGTAAGTCATATGACGGTATTTATATTCTTTTCTCAGCCTGTGTTTCACTGCCCAAATCCCTCTCTCCCTGGACCTCCTTTGACAGAAGCCAAGTACTCCCACCTGACATCTGCTCCCCACCAAGACTGTGAGTGTACGAGTGTGTTGAGGTGTGCATGGTGTGTTGAGTGTCTGCGCGAAAGCCAAGTTATAAGCCAGTAATTGTCTAAAACCAGCAGGAGTGAGTGTGTGAGTGTGTGTGTGTGCGTGAGGGAGGATGTACTGTATATACATGGTCAGTAGAGCATTAGTAAGTCATGGGGGTAGCTGTTAAATGAACCATTATATCCAGCTAGCTTCATATACAACCAAACACACTGGAAAACACAGTTATGACAGCTAGCCCTGGAAACAGGATTTAGATCATGAGACAACAAGTCGCATTGACACACACACACACACACACGGACACGCGCCTCTCCCGTACCAGTGAGTTGGACCTGAGCGTCGTAGTTGCCGCTGATGACGGAGTCGGTACTCGGCGTTGAGCACAAGTAGAAACCGGCGTCCGTCTCCTTCACCTCCGCTATCTTCAGCTCCACCTCGTTGTCCTGGAGCCGCAGCACCGAGATGTCGCCGGACGCGACGCGTTTGCTGAGCGACGCGTCGGAGTAGCTTGCGTCAAAGGTGGAGATTATCTTTGTCGGCTTGCTGCTCTGGTCCCTGGACATCTGCCACTCGAAATCCTGCAGGACAAAGTGGGATAATAATGAGTGCTAGACTAGATGTAATATGTATTTGTGCAGTATACTTAAATAAAAGTGCAGAATTGTGCTGCTGACTGAGTAAATTAGAAATATTTGAGCATGAGAGTGTATTCTTGACTTTGGAGACCGTTCAACTCCTTAGAAAGAGATAAGAAACAAGTGGTCAGAACCAACATCACAGTCCTTTTGAGGTCTGTTTAACAGAACTAACTTGAGGTACAACTATTTCATAATCCATTTGGAGCTCCTTCCATGTTCTATAAAACACAACACTAAAATATATTTACATGACAATTAGACAGTATTCTAATTGCAGGGAATTCTGGGACCTAAGAGCATTGCAGAAAAGGTTGACAGACCCTGAGTGGTACTAAGCAGCATGTATGAGAGTTTTCATTTCCAACTGAGTAGAGTGACTGAAACTGCTGTTTTTCTCATCTACGTCGGTGAATTAAGGTTATTTTTCAACCAAACCAGAGTTGGTGAATATTGGAAAGACTAACAATGACAGTTTTGGTGAGTTCTATTCTCTTTCTGTCCACTTTGAATAAAGTCATGATGTTACGATGATCTGCAAGGTAAAATCACTGTTTTTGTCTATGGAGTCTGGTGGCGAGCAATAGAGACATTACGGCTGTTGCTGGTTAAACTAAAGGTCTATCTCTATATCTAGGGATCCTTTACTTAATGTTGTCAGAAACTCAGAATAACATCCTGAGCCTGTCAGTGGCGAAAACATGCCACAGTGGACCGTCTGGTGGCTGTTTTAATAATTAAGGATTTATTTCAACTTTGGTGATTGTTGGAAAGACGTTTGTTTGATTCTGTCCAGGTTGGACTGTGATTTACAATCATCTGCTAGGTAAAATTACTAGTTTTGTCAATGGAGTCTGGTAGGTCTGCTACAGGAAGATCACGCTCACCCAGATGTGATATGGAGGTGTAAAAGACACTTACCTGCTCACGAGGTCCCATATATTCTTTGACATCACATCTGATTGAGACCGGCTGATCCTGCACCCGAATTAACGGACCGGGAGACACCATCACCACCCGGGCCGAGCACCCATCTTCAGGGACAGAGAGAATATAAAAAAAATACAGTAAAATAACTCATAAATAGTTTTGAGTTTTACAATCTATATTAGTAGCAGAAACACTGTCAGCACTTTCCAAAAAGCAGAAACCAAGAGTGAGCTTTATATATCAAAGTGTCTCTCTGATTTAGTTGCCATTGTTTGTCATATAATTAGTGCCGTTTAGTTACATTGCAAGGTTTGGTTGTATCAAATCAAACCATCATGTTGACTCAGTCAGAGTCGAGTGTAAAATTCCAGCTGAGCGGAGCGTGCAGCAACACGGCGGCGTCTGACTGAGCTCAGTAGAGCTGGTCGGTTCAATGCTTCCTGCTCTGTGAAATCTGGCTGCAGGCCTCCACATTCCAGCTCCGACCCACAAAATCTGCACTCAGCTCATCTAAAGGTGAAGTGGAGATGCTGCTGGGTTTGTATGTAGTAAGAATGTTAATAAACTACAGTCTGTCCATAAGTAGGTTGCTCAATACAATGTTCAATGTTACCAATTTTAGATTTAGGCAAAGTTCCCGAGCTTGTGTTGAGACAAGAAAAGTATGGTCCGTTAGATCTTGGGTTGGATTTTTGTAGCTCTGGCCATCGATCGGTTATGATAACGCTGTACTAGAGATGCACTGATCCAACTTTGTCTCTCCTGATACAGATTCTGAAACTTCAACTCTCATCTGCAATGCAGAGTACCAATCCTTAACTTTAAATTAACTTTAATAACTGAATTTCTCTTTAAATATTCATCTTGCACTACTTTTTTTCCTTATATTTTAAAGATAAACGCAGAAGAAATATAGCCATAGAGCATTTGATATTTCCTTAAGTGTTTAACTGTCCTGTTATGAATTTGAACAGGGCTTTAATCATTTGAAACCATTTTTAGAAAGTCAACCATATGGTCATTTTGGACTGGGTATGGAGCTCAATATTGGAGTACTGGACTGTGTCCATATATCAAAAACTATCCACGTCTGAAGGTTAAGAATGTTTGGTCAGATTTTTTACTTATTCTTGGGTCAAATATTACCGGATTTCACTCGCAGTTCTGTCAGTATAATACAGTATTTTATTTACATCCAGTATGACTGTTTACTTAAGAGATCAAATATAGAAGTGTGCAAAAAAAGAAAATCTTTAACTGGATGAGCATTGGTATTTTTGAAAGTGCTTCATAAACAGGTCTTGTACTTGTATGGTTCATCGATACTTTTTTGGCAGTTGGCCTGGTGTTTCGTGGGTGAGCCTGCTGACTGGGAGCTTTTTTCTGCTTTAGTGTGTAACAAGTCACAATGAAATAAGCACCACACAAAACCTACTGCATGTTTCAGTTTCTGTTTATTGTTTGTCAGTAGTGGTGTGCGGTTTAGAGATAAACCACAGACTGATGGATCTCTGAGTCTGACAGCTATAATTTTATTCTAATAGCAAAGAAATGAATCATTTAAAGCTGCAGTAGGTAATTTTTATAGAACTATTTGTTGTCATATTTGCTGAAACATTCACTATATCTGACAGTCGTACATGAGACAGATCATCTGTGAAAGAAATCAGTATGCTCTGGTTCCTTCTAGCGCCCCTAATGGCATCTGCAAGAATCAACCGGGCCTGGATGAAAACAGCCAATCAGAGCCAAGCAGAAAGCTGCTTGTTTAGTCTCATTCCCAGGGCGACAAATACAGACGCTTTGGGACTCTGGGGATAAGACTGAACAATCTTCAAGCCTCAAACCCCAAAGCATCTTTATTTATTTCTCGGCTCTGATTGGTTGCTTTTGTTCAAGCCCGGTGGGTTTTTGCAAATGCCATTAGGAGCTCTAGAATGAGCCAGAGGAACCAGATATTTTCACAGATTATCTTGTTCTACTGTTAGGATATAGTGAGAAATTCAGCAAATATGACAAAATATATTTTTATAAAAAGTACCAACTGCAGCTTTAACACTACCAATGACATCAAACGGGTGTAACACTCGTTGTTGCATGCTTTAAGCTATAATGACAAAGTGATTTATTCAACTCAAACAATCTAGTATGAAGAATGCCGGAGGATCAGCATCACTTCGGTTGTCAAGCAAAACATTCAAAATTTATCTGACTTATGCTAAGAAAAACTTGCACTCTCTCTTTGCATTCAAAAGGCACAATAAGGTTTCTGCTGTGTCATGTCACAAAATGGCCATAATATACAGTAAACCTGTATGTGTGTGCACATGTGGGCGAGAGGTGATAGGGCCATTCATCACTAAAATAAGAGGCTTAAAGTTGCTTGGCCAGGTGCTAAGATTTATGGTTTTCAAACTCAATTTCCAGCCTGTTCTCTACCGGAACGAATGCTGCACAGCCAGCGGAGCCTGAAGACACCCAGAAAGTTTCATAATCAAGTCGAGAATCTACAAAAAAAAATTGGACAGTGTGACATTTTTGTCACGGTGGCATGTGTGGAGCAGCTGGAGGCAGAGAGGGGACGTGGTTCCATCCTGCTGTGCCGTCTGGCGCACCCACTGCGAGGAAGGTGAGATGGATTGGGGCATTCCTGCGCCACTGGGTGGGTGAGCCCTGAGAGCTGACTGGACAACACATTCTCACACTCAACTTGTTGAAAAAAAAAATTATCTATATATATTGCCCCAGGACCCCTGTGGTGTCATTTCTGGACATGCAGCTACGCGGTCAAGTTAGCTTGCGTAGTTAACGTTGTAAAACAGTCGGTTAGGTTTAGGCAGAAACGGTACCTGGGTTAAAGTCCTGTGTTTGCTATCCATCCACCCCACCACCTCCAAATGCGGACTTTGCACATCGATACCAACTATACCACATCACCTGACTTTGACGGTGGGCCTGAAATAACTCTTCAGGGATACCTGCAGTGTCGTATTTAAAGCAGAGGGTCACCGACCAAGCCGCAGTATCTGACAACTTGGGAGTGAGACCGGGCTGGGCTGGATGCAGGGAAGGTTAGTTTCGCTCCAGCTGACGTACTAAAGTTTCTTATGCAGTCCTGAGTCAAAACTAAACCACATTCAGTCCACTGAAAACAGCCAATATCTCTCCCGAAATACAAAATCAAATAATTCCTAATTCCTCAGGGTGATTTCCAGCAACTTGTGTGAGCTATCCCTATACAGAGATATGATTGGGCAGTGTTTGTTTGACTGACAGGTATCTTAGCCTATCAGAGTCAGCCATGGTTGTTTGCACACTCGCTTGTTCTCTTGTTCACCAAGTTCTTCCCAGTTTGCCAGTGCAAACACTGGTTTCCAGAGCAGATTCCAGATCAGTTGTCAACTATTAAATACATTTCAAACTGCTTCGTGAGTATTTTTTGGTTTCTTTACTCTACTAGAACAGTTAACTCTATATAAAATATATTTGGGTTGTGGACGATATCTGAAGGACTTTTTTCACCATTTTCTGTCATGTAGTGATTTCTTTAGCTTCAGCGTCATTCAACCACTAATCGATTCATGGAGAAAATGATCATCAGATCAATTGATAATGCAAATAACAGCTAGTTGCAGCCCTAATCAGGTCCGGTAGTTTTGGTCATTTAAATAAGAATTCATGATTCATTTTATTTGGACTGTACCATGATGGACTGATTGATTTTTTATTACCTCCGCTTTCAGAAACCAGATGAGCCCAGAAAGAACCTGGTTGTTGTTTTTTTAGTGAACTTCACTTAAACAGCACTGGGCCGTCTTGGCCTGACCCGAGGGTCATGAAATATTTCTCATGCATAAATGGCTAAATCTGGGGATGTAAGACTGGACATGATAGAAGCAGGATGCATTTATAAATGCCACATTTTGAAGGTTTATAATACTAAGTGTGCTTTTCTTTTCTCATCATCTGTTCCAAGCCCCAAACTGTACAGGTTAGGTGTCAGCCGACTGTATAGGCATTTTAGCGTGTGTGTTGGTGACCGCAGACACATGGTGCATTTTAATATGAGCAGTCTGATTAAAAGATCTCAGGCGTCATTTGATATTAGACATAAACCAAGATAGCAGACCTGTGCATAGATAAATTAGCCATTTCTCTACTGACAGATGGCACAAGACCAGTTTGCCTCTGAGAGAATGGCCACAGGAAATTAGTGGATTCTACCTTTTGTGGGAGTGAGCATGTACAGTAAACACTGCATGTTTATGGCTCTCGTTATACGCCTGTTTGCACACTGAAAGTCTGAAAGGTACAAATCAATTACATTGTTCTCAGTGTCTAGGCTCAGTTGTTGCTCAATAGTTGTTGATCACTGTTTCACAAAGCCCGAGATGACGTCTTCAAATGTCTTTGTCCACAACCTAAACTTCACTGTCATAGATGACTAAAGAAACCAGAAAATATTCACATTCAAGAAGCTGAAATCAAAGAAACTCTACATTTCTTCTTCAAGAATGACTCAAAACGATGAATAGTTGGCAACTAACGGATTAATCACTGCAGCTCTACCTTGGATAATGTGTTCATAGGGAGTCTTACTTCCCCATTACAAGCGAGGGGCACAGACAATCATACAAACATTCACAAAACGATAAGCCAATAACATTGTTCAAGCTAATATTCAAATAGAGCCATATGAGTAGGGGAATTTTAAATCTAATTTGCAACCAATATGAGGAACAAAAACATAATAGACATGTCTGTGGTTGACTGTAATGACAACATGAGGGCAAACAGAGAGTAAAATGCAAATTCCCCACAGCCTGTTACAGGAGAGGAAACTGAAAGTCTGCCGGTGACACGTTAAAGGAGACTTCGTCCCCTTGAGAGTGTGACAGTGCACAGCAAATTTCATGCCACGAGTTATTGGGCGCTGTCAGGAGTGTAACCCTAACCCTGTAACCCTGGCTGCCTTACCTATGTTTCAGTTTAGTTGAAGCAATTTGTATACCATGGCCACCGTCCCCACACACACACACACACACACACACACACACACACACACACACACACACACACACCTACAGAACGACACACCACAGGAGCTCTGGCGACATTTGATCATCTTACACTGCACTAATTTAAGCCAAGTCCCCCTCTCTTACACACACACACACACACACACACACACACACACGATGACATTCACTGTTATGCTCTCAAACATATGGCAACTTCAGTACTGGTGAGCCCTGTTCAGCTAGTTTGGCCCTGAGGTGGGCCAATAAACAAGTCCTGGTTTGTCCCTGTGGTGAAACCAGCCTAATGACTAAGAACTGGCCTGGCCCTGTGCTTGGAACCAGTCAGATAATTAGTCAGCCTGCTTGACTCTGGCATGAATACAAGGATAATAATAAAGCTAATCATGATGGCCACCCTGGTTTGACTTCTATGCGAGCTAATGGGACCTTGTCAGAACTGGTCACCTCATGCTGGCAAATTGGTCTTAATGGAAGTACAGTTCTTGGTTAATGAGAGGCTGACTGAGATTAAAGCACAGTAAAGAGAAGGGGAGAATTTTCTCGAGATGAATTTTGTACAGCAGTTTCTACACAGTGTAACTGTTCATTTAAGGGGGATATCTCAAGAGAAACCTTGCTGATAAGTGCAGTTCTTAATGCCAGACTCCGTTCAACAACACGGTGTTTTGCCATTTTTGTTCGTCGTCGCAGGCACTTATCTCTGAGAACATAGTTTATTCATTCTTTCCAATGTCTTGGACCCACTCTTCAATTCGGCATTATCTAAAAAACCAAGCGAAACTTCTTTTTCACTTAAATTTTTACTTCTTGAATATGTTAGCTTGTTGCACTCCCTAACTTCTTTCATGAAATACACAGCGGGTGGCAGCAGCTAGCTGTGTAAACCAGCTGACATTTTTTAAAATTAATTGCAATTAAGTGCTGGAAGATGAATTGAATATATGCCGGACGAGTTAGTGGATGTTAAAGATACGGAAAATTGTTAAAGTGATCTTTTACAAGGCATGTACGTTTGCCGACAAGCAAGTAAACATTAAATTGACAGATTTATGAACAGGGTTTGGGTTTGGGTTCTCCATACATCGGAGTTAATTAGCTATCAACAGTCAAGCAAAGAAACGTTTCTTACCGAGCATTAAAAGAGCAAAGACGAGTGTGAGGAGACAGTTCTTCATTTTCATCCCTCTCTTTTTCCACTCTTATCCTTTTTCCTCAATGTCCCCCCCGTTTTCTTTGTCCTGTGTGGGGTAACACCAGTCCTCTCCCGCCGCTGTCGGTCAATAAAACTCTCAGATGTGAGCAGTCAGTCCGCGCCGCACACCGGGCGGAGCCGCAAAGCAAAACGGATGCACACCGTGCTTTCTAATCCAGTAAAACGGAGTCCAAATCCCGACGGGAGGGTTTACACGGTTCACACACTGACACTGAACCCGGTTTGGTGTGTGTGTGTGTGTGTGTGTGTGTGTGGGAATGAAGGCGAGATTGATAGAGGTGGCTGATTGAGAAAAGAGAGAGAGAGAGTGGCCGGAAGTTAGGTGTCGGTCTGGAGGAGGAGTGCAGGGAAGCAGGGAGGTCCCAGGTGGAGAGAGAGAGAGAGAGAGAGAGAGAGAGAGAGAGAGAGATTCCCATATCATTCTCCCACTGTCTCAGGGTTTATGGAGCAGATATTAGTCTTTATTACATATCAGATATTGTCCAGTCTGTGTGGTCCAGCCTCTGATATGATGGATTCCTCCTTCATAGTTTAAATTACTGCTGCACCTCCAGACATCTCTAATTGCTTTAGTCTTTTACTATTTGAACCCTCTTTCGCCCTCCTTTAAAACAAAAACTTTTATAATCTCCACTGTCTTTGACTGAGTAGTAGGGGAGAGCGGGTTGGTCGTCACATCCATTAGATTTCGCTCTCTAGAGGGCGCTGTTAAAAAATGTTGATACAAAGTAGGGATGTTCGCGATGAGTCGACTAGTCGGTTACACGTTACTAATCTCGCTAGTCGACACCAGAAATACTAGTCGGTTAAACAAATTTTCATTTCATATTTTATTCATGTACAACATCGGTAAACGTCGTCTTTACGCAGCCACCCGCCACTGCAGCCCCTCGTCCCTGCACTAATGCCCCCACTGGTCTTTGTCCCACTTTAAGAGTTATAGTCGTAACATTTGGATACTTCGGTCTGCTTTGGGATTCTAGCTGCTGATTTCACTCTCTACCATCTAACCTCACACATGGTGGGAAGAAAATGCTTCAGGTTGCAGCTCCCTCACTTCACCCTCTTTTTCTAAGAGCAAAGGAAAGACTAGAGTGGCTGCGAAACGCAAAAAACGCAAATGCCCCTGTCTAGAGCCAGTGTTTAGTCCATTCTGGGCTGCTGTAGAAATATGGTCACTCAACATGGCGGACTCTACGGATCGTGACCAGTGGTGTCCTGAGTCATTGGCGTGTTAACACCACCTGTAGATCAGTGTGTATAGAGTGAGACCTGTGGCAGGACTGTGAATGGTGTCACCCACGTGCGTCACACAAAATTGCAAACCCACTCGCGGAAAAACAGTTCCACTACCGCAGGTCAAAATCTCGTCAGGGAAGCTTTAAAAAGCGAAATTAAATTTAAAGCGCTTTTTATGTAAATGGTCCTGCACGGCCTTAATCACAAAGAGCATTTACCACAAAACCTGAATCAATCATAAGAGCATCAGTTGAACCTAAAACAATGAAAAACAAGACAAAAATGATTCTCATTTTCAGGTGATTATGTGATTATTATATTATTATTACACTAACACTAATGAAAACTAACTCTTTTTCCAAAAAGGCAAAAAAAAAACTCAAGCAAGCGTAAAGACTTTATTTGCAAAATTGAGGAAATCAAAATACACAGCTATTGTGATAATGGAGGTAATAAAACATATAGAGTAAACTGTCAGAATCAATAGGATGCATTTTAATTATAAGTGTTAAAAAATGACTCCCACCTCTCCCACCATTAGGAGTGCTAAAGCGAGAGGTGAAGGGGGGAGGAGGAATATACTGCAGAAGCAGCCATAGAGGAAGAGATGAGAGAGGTGGGGGTTTACACTTAAAATACACAGTTTTCATGTCATAAGGCCATAACAATAAAGACTTATTTTGTAATTATATAAGCAACATGATCCAACGAGTGAGCTGGTTACACTGAAATAACGCTCTAGGGAAACTACATATTGGAAGTAAATGGTATAAAAAATGTAAATCCACAAGACAATGTGTATTGCCTTTCACAAACTAAGCTTTTTTAACTAGTATAAAACCATATTCCTTATTTTCTTTTTCCCTGCAGGCTGCCATTTTACCCAGGGTGACACATGCCTGGTGTCAGTTCCAGTCCTGTGCCCAGGCCCATGCTGTGTATTTACACAGAGCCAGTGAGGGGGCAAAGGTCACCGCTCAGTCAGAGCAGGTGACAGGTTTGGGTTTGTAACCTCGGGGTCAAAGGTTACAACTGCATGGCCAATACATGTGAGGATGCTATTTTTAAAGTGTGTGTGTGTGTGTGTGTGTGTGTGTGTGTGTGTGGCATGGACGACTCAAGCCAGTGTGTGTCGCCTACTACTATATTACTGTATGTGGTCTCAACACGGTAGCATCTGTTCCTCACACAACATCTGTTCAAACTGACACACACACACACACACACACACACACACACACACACACACACACACACACACACACACACAGAGTCTTATCCTACTCCCCTATCAGTCATTTACCAGGTCGTGGATTCTTGGCACTGGATCTGGTTGTAATGGACTAACAGCCTTTTATTCCAAAGCAGTCACCGCCAGCCACCTCACATATGATGCACTGTAGACGATAACGCAGACTTAACTTTAAACCGTGTCTCCACTTGAGACTTGTTCACTGTAAGAAAGCGCTGCAGCATCGAAAAAGGCAGAGCTGCAGGCGAACAATGATGTAATAATGTCAGGAAACTGTAAACTCAACTGTCTAAAATCTAAATCCAACAAAGCAGGCCATCAAAACTTTTGGAATCAGCCTGGATTGTTGTATTAGTACGAGCAGTAGTAGTAGCAGTAATGCTTGTAGTAGTAGTAACAGTAGTAGGAATGGCTTTAAAATACAAGAAACAACAGTAGAAATGGTTATTTATCACAAAATCAGTGGAATTATTTCTATTAATCATACACTCGCTCAGTAAATAAAAGAATCTGTCACATGTTTAGAATTGCTCATTAATTGGTGTCCTTTATGCATTGGTGTTCATTGGAAGGTAATGTTAGTGAGAGGGAAAGACAGGATAAAGTAAGGTTTGAATTAAATGATTAAGATTAAAATGTGTTGCAAGTAAAAGGGCAGTTTATTAAGAGTGAGTGGCCAGTTTTAGATTCAACTCTACATACAATCTGATGGGACTTTTCCACAGTCAAATGTCAATTTACAGACCTATTGCAAAAACCGTGGGCCGATGGCGCCATCTACTGGCCACAGAGAAAGAAACTTTAGGAAACAGTACAATTATACTTAATGCATACAACTTAAAAGGGGATGAGGAGAATCTTCTTGGATTTATTTTACTCAAACCCATGGCCGCTGCAGCAAGGACCCAGCCTTTAGTACATGGATCACCAGCTCTACCAGGTGAGCTGCCCTGGTGAATTGTTTTAACCTATTAAAGGACATATAATACTATTAAGAACAATAACAGAAATCCCAAATAAACACGCAGTTTAGCAGAAGCTACTTTAAATGTGATTATTTTGGCATACAACCCAGTGCAGGGCTGCTGTGATCTCACATTATAACTGACATGCTCTGTGGACATGAAGCTACAGCACCATCTAGTGGGTAAAATCTATCAATACAATTTATTCAGATTTTTTGTATTTTCCCCCCACATTGCATGTGTGCGTATTAGACCGGTAAATATCAAAAATAGGACAAAATAAAAGTCTAAAGATAATTTGAATAAAATAAAAAATATACACTTACACTTATAAACTAGTGCTCTCTAATATTAGCACTCCAAGTGGAGGTGATAATTGTATACATTGGAGATGCCACATTGTGGTTGCATTCTGTGTATTTTCAGCTTGTTTTGTTTTCTGCTGCTGTGTTGGTGTAGCATGCCAACAGATAAATCTTAGGGGTTTTGAGATGATTGACAAGAAAACATATTTTTGTTTGTTTCTAATAACTCCTTGTGAAATACTGGTTGGTTGTTTTTTGTGAGGGGACAAAAGTAAAAATGTTTGGGAAGAAACTGTTGGGTAAATGCATACCAATCCTCTTTTGGGTAGTTTTGATTGCCTGCTGTAGAGTCCTCCTGTCCTGGGCCACGCACATCCAATGCTAGTTTGTGATGTTTCCAATCCGGATGCTTTCTGTCGCTCCTCTCTAAAAGAACTTGGCACGGGAATTTTGCTTTCTTAAACATCCAGTGTGTAACATTTAGGAGGATCTATTAGCAGAAATAGAATATAATCTTCATAGGTATGTTTTTATTAGTGTATAATAACCTGACTATAAGAATCGTTGGGTTTTTGTTACGTGACAGTAATAGAGAATAATATAATATATAATAATGATAATACAAAAATACAATAAATATGGAGTGCCATGTCTGCTAATAATAGATTTACAATTTAACATCAAATAAGGCTCATAAAGAGAGCATTAAGCAATGAATGAGTTTACATAAAGAGTAGGCAAGCTAGCCAAAATGGAAAATGTATAGTGAGTGAGCAAGCAATGACAGAATCTGTGTAATTTGAATAAGATTAAGACAAATCTCTCACCCCCATCTACCCTTTACTCTCATGATAGTACAGATTAGAAATGTTGTCATTTCCAATTCCCTATAAAGCTGCAAGTACCAAAAAAACTCCTGTGTATGACATCATGTGTGGTTCCCAGCAAGGCAATTGTTAAAATGATCACTAACAAAAGGTGACTTTCAAATCCATCTTTATTATCATAAGTAGGCTTTATGAATTTAATCATAAACTCAATTAACAGTTTGTTCAAATCAACTCTTAGGAGGTGTGAATGCAACTAAATAAATGTATATCATCTGCAAACCTAACAAATATAATTCATGTATAAAATTATTGGGCCTAACACATATGTTAAAAACTATTATAAAGCTTCAAGTAGAGCTCCGGTAGACACAAATGCACACACACACACTAGATAATCATCTTGCAGTAGCTCAACACGTACAGCGAACACACTCAAAACCACAAACACATTTTCAGCTAAAACAGACAGGATATGTGAGTGACACAGAGACACACACATAGCTGCAGAGCTGCGGAGGTGAAAATGACGCAGTATGAATTCATTTCCCCCACTTTTATTTCACTGGAAAAGTTGCACCATAATTTATACCACTCATTTTAATACTACACAAAAAGTTAAATGCAACATTGAATGACAGTGGAGGAGCACAGCAATATGATTCCTTGTATGTTTTATGTCTATGAACACATGTATGACATTATTAATAATATATAATATAATATCGTCTGTGCTTTCGGAAAAAATTTGTGTCATATGCGACAACCGATGAGCAAGTTTCCAAAAATAAAGCATAAATGAAACATAGTTTGTCAGGCAAAAAAAAGTCATCAGTTCACAACACATTTACAAAATTAATTAAAAAGAGGTGCTTACAAATGTACAATGACAATCTTTTTTGCGGCCTGGAAAAAAACTAAGTACTGAGTATTTTTTGTAATAATGACCTTTCTGTACCCCATAATTTCCCTAACATTCTTGAAAAGAACAGACAGAGGAGAACAGGACAAAATGATAGATGAAAATAGGAGAAAAGGAGGTAGCTCTTCACGGAAAGTTACTTTTTTATCGAACAAGGTTACAGTTCTGATGGCCATAATAAACTACCTAAATTGTAATGATGAGATAATTGATATCTTGAGAAAAAGGACATATTACTAGTTAAAGTATAAATCCACAGACATACAGTGTCATACAAATGAGGGCAGTCTAAGTTTGTTCTTGTCATAATAAAGCTTCCAAAGGGTCATAGTTTGAGTTCAGCGTTAACAAACATCTATTTGCTTTTTTTTAGCAACCATTAAAAAACTATTAGTTTGTTCAAACATCCTGATGAAATCATGATGTTTAATCATAATCATGGTATAGAGTAGTAAAGTCTCCTTTTCTTTACTGAGTTTGGATGAATTCATCTTCTTCGGTCAAACAGAAACAGCAAGAGAGAAGTAGGGAGGAGAGAAGTGAATCTGGAACGAAAATGAAAAAAATAAGAAGGGCAGGTGAAAAGAGGAGTTGACTACGTTGTCTAAACTCCAACACTCACATGGTGTCACACTCTTGGTGTTTTGGGAGCTTTTTTCCTGGGCTGAGGAAGAGGAGGAGGCTGCTCATCATCATTATCAACTGGTCTGGGGGCCTGAAGGGAAGTGAAAAAGTGTCGGATCAGACGCCACACTGAGTTAGTTTTCTAAATACTACTGATATGTTCATCTGAATGCTTGTGTTTCTCGCCCTGTTGGACTTGACGATGTCACATCTGAGCAGATACTTTGGAGAGTACAATGTTATTATAACTGACAGATATCATGGCCAAAATACACCTTCTCTTGGTGTATGTGAGTATAACCATTACGTTTTTAGCAGCCCAGGAGCCCAGGAGCAGATCTACTAAAATGTCCTACCTGTGCAGGTCTTCTGGGGCTGGGCTGAGGCTGATCGTTGGGGACGTCTGGGGCTTTGGGACGCTGCTGGTTGCGCGGCTGTTTGGTGCGATGTTGGCGCGGACCGGTGTGGCCGGCCGGCTGCTGCTGATGATGGTGCTGATGATGTGGATGTTGTTGTTCGGGAAGATGACTATGTTGGTGATGATGATGATGATGATGTTGTTGTTGGTTGGGATTGGTCCACCCCAAACGAAGCTCCTCCTCATCTGTTGAGAGAGAAAATAATTATAGACTGCAGCATTTAAAATTACTAATTTCTTTTCTTTTTTACTTCATACATGATTCGTAGTGTTTTAAAAACTACCAAATCTTCCCAAGTCTTCTGAAGTATGAAGTATTTAATTGTACTGATTTCTAGAGCCCCACCGATGTGGGCCTTTTGAGACCTATGCCGTATACAGGTACGGTGGCAGATGTAGTGAACTTTTGAACTGGAATAAAAAAAGTGACTCAATTCAATTCAATTAAATTTTATTTGTATAGCGCCAATTCATAACAGAAGTTATCTCAGGACACTTTTCAAATAGAGCAGGTCTAGACCGAACTCCTTATAACATTATTTACAGAGACCCAACAGTACCACCATGAGCAAGCACTTGGCGACGGCAGCAAGGAAAAACTGCCTGTTAAAAGGCAGAAACCTCGGACAGACCCCGGCTCTAGGTGGGCTCAGAAGGCAATTCAGAATTGAATTGAATATTATTATTTCAATAATATATACTAATACTGAAATGAATGGTCTGGCTTTACTGGTGTATTTCCCATACTTTCACACAGTAAACTATGTATGGAAGCATACAAAGTGAAAAGAACAGTGTATGCAAATATATATAACATGCCTGACTTTTGTTTTGATATAATTTAGATGTTGTTTCCATGATTCCATGATAATTGTTAAAAGTTATCTCTACCAAAAGGTGATTTCAACACTCAGACACTTAATTTATCTTGAGTATGCTTTGTAATTATGAATTTCATCTCACAGTCAAAAATAGTTTGTTCAATCAACTTCAAATGTATTTTCCATATTATTCAAGTTCAGGAGGAGCAGGAGGCACACCAGCTCATCCAATCGGCCGAATCTGTCTTTAAGAAGCTCTGCCTCAGTTTTTTATGTTAACAGATTTTGTTAATACAGAACAGCGACCATTACTGTCTAAGCATTCTGTGCTTGAATTACAGTGTGATAAGAAGTAACACACTGCTTCCTCTGAAGCTGCTGATTACATACATATTTTCTAAGAACATACTGTAGTAAACAGTCAGGTGTAAATGCAAAATATTGGTATTTCAAAACAAACAACAAAACCCCTTACCCTTCAGTTGCAAGCGTTTTTTCCGACTGTTCCGGACGCAGCAAAAAATGATGATGAGAATCAGCACCATAACAACACCTGATGAGGATGGATAATAATAATTTAAGATCAAGTGCAAGTTAAAAAGATGTTATTAGAATCTGTGGAGCTACATAAGAGAATAGACACACCTCCTCCAATGGCCACCAAAATCCAGGTATTAATTCCAAATACTTCTTCAGGGAAAACAAACCCTGGAAAGAAAGAGGAGAAGAAACACAGTGAATAAGTATTGATTCAATTCATTTTCTTTTTTAAATTAAACATAAACATTTCATATTGAGCCATTCTTAATAATGAATGTTCTGTATGCAATCAGTTCTGGTTTATACTGCAGTGAAAGTCATTGGCTGGACAACTGGCCACTGTTTACAGCAGGCTGTACCAACCACTGGATAGTACTTACCGGTCGAAATGCAGGGTTGTTTAAGACTTTCAGACGTCATAGAGCTGACGCGGTTGGTAACTTTGCAGCTGAAGGTATCTGTCATCACATCATCTGCTTTAAATGTCAAAGATTTATCCTTCTGCTTGTCCACTACCTTCCCATTGCGATGCCATTCAATGCTGACATCTTTGGGTGCAATCTTTTGGGTAAAAATATCATGGATTAGTGAGTTATCATGAGGATATGTAGATATTCCAAGTGCAAAAGAAAAGAACCAGAGTAAAACCTTGCAGGGGAGTTTAAAGATAAGTTAAGACCACAAAGCAGGCTCCAAACACATGTTCAAGGCCAAATACTATTTTTGTAAGGTTTGATCCGCTACAGACAAGGGCCAAGCTAATTAGTTGAGAAATCAGAATATAAAAGTATTAATATTATTTTTTCTTCAGTGACAGAAATGTTTAGCTAATATATTTATTTCAGGGCTTTTACTTTGACAAGGCAAAATTACAAATGTGTCTTTGTTATGTGGAGGCCATGAGCAGCTGGAGGATTCACACATTAGAAAAACAATTGGAAAAATGGTTGAATACAACTGTTCATTATGACCTTGAAAATAGTGGTTTGACCCAAAAAAGAGGGTGGAGTTTTTTTCAGTGACTACAAATTCAGGTAGAATGTTCACCTATAATGCCCCATAATCAGCTAATGCTATAACCTCCAACCCCCAACAAGAGACAAACAATCAACACTGAACTTGTTCTATATTCCTTTACATTGTTCTTTCTGATAATGGCTGGTTACAGCAGCCAAAATTGGCCAAAAAATAAATCTGGATTTTACTTTCTCACATTTGGTTTCTTTCCTAACTTAAAGGTCCAGCCAGTGTGCATTAAAGAGGCGGGATGGAATATAATGCTCATAGGTACGTTTTCATTTAACTCAACTCATGCTTGGTTTTTGTCCTCACCTTACCAACCTCGCAGATAAATTGGATTTTGTTCCCGGTTTTGGGACATTCAATCCTCACTTTAGGCTTTGGGACTGGATCTGAGTAGAGTAGATTTGATTAGATCAAACATTATTTTAAGCAGTGTTCATTAGGCATTGTAAAAACACCATAATTATCGTATCATGATGAACAAAATATGAAAACAGATGTAGCGATCCAAACTAATTAACAAACAAATTAACTTCTCTGATGTTTGATTATATTGTACGCCTATAACAGACAACACACTCCAGGATTTTTAATAAACACATTTTAAGGTTTCATGTTCATATCAATGTGGACAGATTAGGTAATATAATTAAAACTGTTCAGGTGGCTGCAGACCTTTGTTTCTGACCCAGGTGCAGCAATAAGGAGGGATGCACAGTCAGATGTATCAAGATATACTTAAATAAACAAAGTAAATGTACTCACGATTTCTTGTTACCTACCAATTATACACAAAAGTATGCTTTTCAGTTCCTTTTGTATTGCCTGTCCACCAATAAAAACCCCAGGTTTGTACAGCCCTCCATCACTTTTTTTCACATTTGTCAGCTTCAGGGATCCATTTTCATAAAGGTTTGTTGGGTTCTTTGTGTTCTCTCTGCGTGTGAGGATCACTGTATTGCCTTGAGTCCATATCAACCGTTCTGAGGGTTTCAGTTGGTGGTTCAGTGGCACAGTAATGTTCCCGTTTGTTGCAACATTGATGTCACATTGATCCTGAGAGTCTTTGTAACAGAAAGAAAGATAGGGAAATACAAAGGAAAATCAGATGACACAGCAGTGAGACATTTTATTCTATGTATGCCCCAAACAATCACAACAAATTCAAATGCAGAACAATGTGATATTTTTGTGTATGCCAACTTGAGTGCTGGTATTATTAATGCTTTTCAGAACGCTAAGCCTCACCAATGGCTGCAGAGGTCATTACACCCTAAAACAGGGCTCTCTAAGCTTTTTGTGGGAGATATGATTCACAACTAGTGTGGTAATGATCATCTTTGCATCACAAATCTAATTGCATTAAAATCATGATGATGTGACATCGGTTGGGGTCTGTTTTCTTAAATCTGGAGAACAGGATTTGTAGGCCAGGGTATCTCTTCAGCTCTACAGCACTTAGCAATTAAATTGCTGTTTTGTCTGACATTTAACCTTTCTCAAAAAATTACAGTTTCTGCGATTTTCATTTTGCACTTATTGCAATTTCGATATTTCCATTAATTGTGCAGTCCTAACGAACATCCATGTTAAATTGATGCATTCAGTGGCATGTTTGTTTGAACTGAGATGGATGAGATGGATGAAAGTCTGTGCTGTGCTAGTTTAGATGATATTACGAGAGAAGGTACGAACAGAATGTCACAATATATGTTGGATGTGTTCTTATGTCATAAAGAGAAGCAATTTTTCAACTGAATTGAACAACTCAGACTTGTCCTTTCCGACGGGGAACTGCAGCTGTTATATGGCTCGCTTCAAAGCCTTCAGAGTCCTTTGATTAAAAGAGTAATTTTACCTTGCAGAACACAGGAGTTGCTGGTCTACCGCTGTGATTGATTATTAACACGTTCATTTGAATCCAAACTAATGTTAGTTGCTTTATTCATTTTTTAGTTAATAAAAACATATCACTAATTATTTGAATGGAACAAATTTGTACCATTACTTGTTATGAAGAAAATATTTTGGATAAAGAAATCATAGGCCCCTCATAGGTCACTCGGAGCCCTCGGGTTGGAGACCCCTGCTCTAAAATATGACAACAAGTGGGTGGAACAAACAAATGTAGACCTGTGCGTAATGTTAATGTACAGAAAGTGAAACAGTATATCCTCCTGAATGTGCTCAGCCTGGGATTTCGTCATTTATTTTAGAAGTGGAAAGTTCGGCCGGATCATGGAAAGTTCCCCAAAACATTATGATTCGTCCTCTCGGGACTACAAACGTCCTTTCCAAATCTCATAGCAAATTCTGAATATCTATTAAAAAAAACAAAAACAAAGTGCCACTCTATAGAAGCTGTTGAGATATTTCACTGAATAAGTGAAAACCCAGTCCAAATTGTACCACTGTAGTTGAGGTCAACAAAATGATCCATGCCAGTTATAAAGACAGCCAATGTCAAAACCAACCGCATACGACAGTTGAATGTAATGTTAACACATAAAGCTAAATAGTTTCTTTACATTTGATAATCAGGTCTGTTGTGGTATGTTTATGACAAAAATGATTTCATATTACACAAACTAATGATAAAATAACATACATTAAAGCCTTACTAACAGTGAAATAACTATTAATTAAAGTTTAATGAACTATCAATTTACCATGTATTAATGATGGTAGGAATGGTTTTAAGTGTGGGGACATTCTCGAGCACAAAGAAATCGGTAAGCATAAACACTGTTTCTTCACAAATCAGTGCACTACGCGTGGTTGATAAGTGAGGGCCCAGATTACAAGTTAACACGTCGTCCTATTTCCAGTGTGACCCAATTGCGTAACCCTGTTTTTGTTCTTTTTTATGAGAATTCACAGACAAATCTACAAAATCTCAGTCAGTAGGTGTTCCTTTAAAGTATACAAATCTGGCAAATTACTGACCACCTGCTGACATTTCCTGTCAATCAGAAAGTTTGATAGAAGGCCTAGTCGAGTATACTCTGTGTATGTGCTGATTATTGCCATTGTTCGATTAATTATGGCTCGCCTTGATTGATACTTATTTTTTTGGCTTTTCAGTGGCGTATGTAGGATTATCACAAGTGTCAAATTTCTTTTTCTAATGATTCTGAAACATGCTTGTAAACCTCCTTGTGTGTGTGTGTGTGTGTGTGTGTGTGTGTGTGTGTGTGTGTGTGTGTGTGTGTGTGTGTGCACCTTCCCACACTGTGCATACATGAAATCTGAAACTGACACGGTCTATGAAGTGAAACTCTGCAGCCGTCCTGCACAGAGCATCTCGTCACAAAGCCTGAGTGCACTGAAGACAGATGATGAGTGTATTATATCCTGTTGTCTCTGTTCAGACCACAGTCGGCTCAAAAGACACACACAGCAAAACACACTCGCCTACGTGTTTGTCTTAAAGTCCAGCCTTCATTTTCACATCCTAAAGGGTGAAGATCAGACTATAGTTGCCATTATCTGCCAATTCTTAAATTTCTTATATATAAAAATGATATAGTATTGGTCTCCTTTCATTAAACACTAAAAGTATCAAAATGAAGAAGGATTCTCATGCTAGCACAACTATATGATCTGCAATCACAGATTGGAACTTTGATATGGTTTCATTTTCAGTGAAGTCAACCCACAGGAAATGAATAGTTACAGGAGTCATCATCTGTGGAGTTAGACCATTAAGATTTTTCCATATGATGATAAAAAAACAAGGTACTGGTTATTCACACATTTTGGTCACTAGTTGAGATAGGTTTTCATTTCTCTGGCAATACGGTTTGAAAGAAACACACTGTCACCCAGATTATATGTTTTATCTATATTATAATAGCACAAAATATTTAGATTGAATATGTCTACAAAACATTCATTGTCAGTGCAATTCATTTACTGTAATAATACTTTGTGACAACTAAAGCATGATTAACATTTGTATTGTTATGATTAGGCAACTCACAACAAGAAGTAAAAATGGATGTTTAAGTGTTTTTATCTCATATGTTTGTGCTATGAATCACCTTTATGCCAGTATCTGGCCCAACAATTAGAAAAAAGTCATTTTCTAGGTATTTTCAGGTATTCTTAATGATATTATAGAATTTGCCATTTCCTGAAAGACAGTAAAAAGTTGTCGATGACTCATCCCGCACTCGGGAGCATATACTAATTTTGTGTCCAATAAAACGCTTTATCCGTTAATATAAATGATTTACTGGTTTTCCCTCTGATGTCCTCAATTAATATCCGAAGTCCCCCTCTAGCTGCCTGTTTTAACAGGAAACACCGAAACATGCAGAAGCAAACAGTACTGTTTTCCTTTCATGTGGACTTTAAAGGTCTAGTGTGTAACATTTAGGAGGATCTATTAGCAGAAATGGAATATAGTATTCATAGGTATGTTTTCATTAGTGTATAATCGCCATTAGAATCGTTGGGGTTTCGTTACCTTAGAAAGAGCCACTTTTAGCTACAGACGTTGAACTGCCATGTTTCTACAGTAGCCAGAACAGACAACCTGGCTCATGATAGGGCTGTTTGCGTTTTTGCACATTTCGCGACCAGCATAGTTTCTTCCTTGCACTTGGAAAGTGAAGGTGAACCAAGTAAGTCACTGCTACAAAATCCTATAAACTGGTCCTTTAAATACTGTTAGGTAAGGCTATAAACAGTGACATGACGTGATTACTTTATTAGTATTTAACCAAAACCTCAGTCTTCCCAAACCTCAACCATACATGTTTCTGATGCTAAACCACAGTTCATGGCAGGAAACCTGAAGTCTCAGTTCTATCTACATCTAAAGATCACATCTAGCAGTGGATGTTACAAGTTAAAATTACTGGATATTGTTGCTTTTTCCAATTGTGACATCGAACTGAGAGGAAGTTTAATGACGCAATTCACAACATCTAAAAGTTGGTGAAGTGGAACAGCTTCATACTTCAACAACTTCACATCTCAAAGTCCACCTTAAGGGTTTTCTATCACAACAGACTGCTCCCATTTAGATGTTTAAGCCCATTTTCAGCTATAACAATTAGCTCATACTACAATGTAATTGTGACTTGAATGTCTTATAGGATAATGGAATCAGTTTTGACAGAAAATGAAGTCCGGGATAATGTTTTTAAAACATCCAAAACAATATAAATCGAAGTTAAAAAATGTATTTTGAGATTACATAACGCACCTAAAAAAGCAATCATTTGTCATTGTCAGCCCTCCACCCGACAAAAGTGACTCTTTATCTAATTCCCACAATAACCCTGATATTGATAACATGCAGACGTAGACATGTAGATGTAATACTCACAGAATTTTTAAATGTTTTTTAATGTTAAGATAGTTTAGTTGTGTGTTTTATATTTTTTTTCAGCAAAAAAGTCTAATTTCCACATTAAAATCCTTAAAAAGGCATCTACTCCTTCTACCTCATTACAAATTCCAGAATCTATGAATATGCAAATGTTGTTCATTTCTAAAGTTTTCCTGCTGGACACAAGATGTCTCCTACTTCACTATAAAGTCCATTCTCAGTGGATGTGCACTGGTATCTCACTGCATACGTTGCATAAGTTGCAGTGTCTGTCGGTTGCAGTCTCTGCACATACATCACTCTGCACAGTGAAAGTTCAAACATCAAAGTGTAGGAACAAGAAGTATAACAGGTTTTTGACTAGAGGGGAACTTTTCCAAGTTTTTGCATTCAGTAATTTTACAACAGTATGTATCGCTTAATTTTTCTTCATTAAACGAGGATTCTTTTGTTTATTGTAACCACTGAACAATTTCCAGGAAGCAACAAACAAAGGTGTGAAGATTTTAAAAGCAGTTTCAAAGTTTCAGCCACAAATTCTGAAACAGTTAGAGCCTTAAGCAGTTTGCCTGACACAACTAAAACAGCATTTTGATAATTATATTGAATTATTTGTTTACTTGAGCATATACCAAATGCCTTTTGTATTCATACGCAATGATAAAAATAGGTCATGGCTGGAGTTTATATTACAATAAGTTTTTGACATAAGTCTTTTACAACATCATTATTTTAATCATGTGAAACCTTTTGAAACACGTTTATAATAATAGGTACGTATCTCACAAAACAGACATTTACATTTGATAGAAAGAAAAATATTTAAAATAAAAAAGTACTTGGAATAAAACTCTATTTAGGTAAATCATTATGTATATTTTATACCATGAACATTTTGTATCACTCAGTTTAACTGCTTTAATCATGGCTATTTGCTGCATTGTGCCATTTTATTTCTGTCTGATTGTTTCAATTGTTGAAATGATGTTTTTCTGTTCTGTGACTGTCGTAGTGAAGCTTCCTGTTCGTCCTGTGTAACCTCATTTCAGACCAATTTTACCACATCAGCAGCATGTTTGTGCTGCAGGTAACGTTCCTTGATGATTTTTTTTGTCTACATCTGATGTATTTCTAGCACAGGTTTCAACTCGTGTTCACCCGCAATTGCGAACATGCCTTTCCAATAAAGTACCAGCTTTAGGGACGTAAACAGACGGAAAAAATGCATTAAAAAAATGTTTAGTAAACTTTGACTTTACAGATATTTCATGTCATTCAACAGCAATCTCAGCAATCCTCAACCCTTGCCCATGTCAGTGACTTTAGCTACAGTTGCATTAGCGCAACAGCCAAGAATCAACTTTACAGATTTATAGAACAGCCTTTAATTTGGATAGTCTCTTTAGTTTTTGAGAATTACTGGCCCACTGTGTACTCATATACTTTCCTCACTTTTTAAAATACGTTTTGAAAACTGATTTTGTAAATGTTACAATATGTAAAAAAACCAAAAATAATTGATATAGAGCAAATACCCGGGGTTGAAGAACTTCAGTCAACTTGTTTTATAGTAGAGATACACAGTGGAAGTAAAACATCTTAAAAGCAGTAATCGGTTGGCCAGCAAGTTCCAAATTTTTTTAAACGATTTTTTTGGTTTAAAATTGGTTTTGTGTTCTTCTTGTTAAATGTTAAGAATCAACCCAGTTAGAGGATGGAAGTTTGGAATCTGACACTAATGGAAAAGCATAGTGGTTTATTTTCAACTCCATTCCTCAAATATAATTATATAGTTTTCTTACTTCTTCATAAGAGTGGGTAATTGTTTAATTGTTCAGTACCTGCAGAGGCGAAGAGGGAGCAGAAGAGCAGGAGCGCAGTGACGGTGGAGGCAGCAGCCATCTTCATCATCATTCTCACTGAGTTCAGCTGAAAAGAACAGCCGCTTTCCATTATCAAGGTTATTTCCTGTCAGAGCAGTTAGATCACCTCCTGTTTGTGTGTGTGTGTGTGTGTGTGTGTGTGTGTTTGTGTGTGTGTGTGTGTGTGTGTGTGTGTGTCAGTGTACGCCTGTGTTTGTGTGTTTATGGTTTCTAAAGGAAGTGATCCAGGAGGCCCTATTTTCTCCCACAAAACAAGCAAAGGTAATGTCATATTCAGAGCAAACAGACAGTCTCCAGTTAAAGATCATTAAAATACAAACTAACCCCAAATCATTTATTATTTCTATGTGAGCACCAACCTATGTTTCAGACTTTAAAGCTTAAATTGACATCAGTTGGAAACCACTTCCTCTTCTAGTATTGTAGTTTTGGATCGACCTGACCCTAAAAACCTGACATTATAAACTGACTTAACCTGTTTCTAACTGCCACTGTACACCATCATTCGTTTGATTCAGATGATTTACATCATGTGCTGTCAGAATGTGACCTTTCCATTTGCGCTGCCTTGTTGAAACCTTCTGACTGCAGCACACATTCATAAACTAGCTCTAGTCTTAACACAAATGACAATTTCATATAATTAAAAACAGACAATTTATGCGGTTAGGACTGTCTAAAATAAAGTAAGATGTGCACTGACAACAGAATGAAGGAAAATTGTTCCAAGCTGTGCAACAAGAAGAATTTAGGTTAGTTTTGCGATTTTAAGCTTCAAGATCAAAATTCATCTTACCCTGCAGCTGTTGACTGAATGTAATGTCAGAACCACCACTGCCATTCTTTGCTCTCCCCGTAATAGTAACTGAACGCAACGCAACGCAATGTTAAAAAAATTGGTGTGCCCTTGTTTTCTCCTGAGTATGTGTTGCTGTTGGGCCACTACATGAATGCAGGGGAAGTGTGTAGACCCATGTGAAGCTTGAGCTTTTAGCTTGTGGCAGCAACTATCAGTTTGTGGTTTCCAATTACAGATACAATCTCTGTGGCAGCAACACAAGGCTGGTTTTAGTTATTCTTTTTTAAATATGATCATAGAAAGTCTTATAGATGACAATACAGAGATCTAGCTCATTCTCAACTGCGCCAAATGGTTTGTTACACCTAACCATCCGGGAAGTTGTCATGTCAGATCAACGAACCATATTAGTCTGGAGAAGAGGAAAAACCTTTAGTGCTGTCCTTTGCTCTTCTTTCAATGAAAGCAGCATCTACACTAACCACTTTAGCAGCCGTCGTTGTGAACAGTTGCTTCTCACACACATCGTAGCGTTAAACACTGCCCGTAACTCACGCCTTAGCTGCCTGTCATCGGGTACAGACAAATGTGTTTTGCAGATGCCACAACACTTCGCCAGTTAAAGCTCCAAAGTGTGTGGTAAGGAAATATGACCCTGAATAAATAAAATTTGGATTCATAATAACAGGAAGTGATGCTGAGCATGTTGAATGTGGGGAAATCCTGTCAAACGAGGTGCCAAACTCTTCTAAGGGAAAGAGATGGCGTCAAAAACAAAAAAGCTAGTTATGTGGTATATACTTACAGTGACATAACATAACATAACATATTTACAGCCCACCTTGATTTGGGAAGTTGGTCCTTGGAGGGGGCAGTGGAGTTCATTTCAATGATGGCTCTGGGGTAAAAGCTGTTTGGTATTTGATATGGGGCTGAGTTATGTCCTTTAGAATTCTGCTGCGGAGGTAGTGGTAGTGATAGAATAGTTTCACAAGGACATGCACACTGATTTTACTTGTAGTAGCATATTTTGACAGACCAAATACACAATTTCTCTGGAAGGTAACCTCAGTGCGGTGAAGCTTAATTTAATGTGTTTAATGTAGATCATCTGGTAGCTTTCAGATTACATTCTGATCAAGTTGATATCAGGAAAAAGGAACTGATTTTACTTGTGACAGCATATTTTGACAGACCAAACACATTTTTTCAACTCACTGCATTTCCCTTAGCTTAGCTTAGCTTAGCTTGCTCAACACAACCCTACACCCTCAGGCCAGTGAATTGAAAAAACAAAGATATGACTCTGCATCTTGTTTTTCACTGTAAAAAGAATTAAACCTGACCCTGTGAAAACTGTAGAGAGCGGGGGATGACATGCAGCAAAGGGCCAATGGTCAGATTAGAACCTATGGCTGCTGCAGCAGGGATTCTGCAGAGGCACCAGCTCTACCAGGTAAGCTATATGGGTGGTAATTATGTACTGTTCACATGCAAACACCAACACAAATGATGGTTTCAATAACATGCAGCTTTGCAGACAAGTTGGTTTTCCTATTCTACCAGAGCAGTAGAGTTGATTGTCCATGTGGTCCTCTGTGATGTGGGTTCCTAGAAACTTTAAGTTGGAAACGCTCTCCACTTCTACTCGTGTGATGTTTCGAGGAGAGTGGTCCTCGCAGTGTCTCCTAAAGTCTATGATGAGTTCTTTGGTTTTTTTGATGTGTGATTGATCGTTTTCTGTGCACCATCCTACCAGTTTGCAGACTTCATCTCTGTACGGTACAGACTGTCTTGTCCCAATTTGAGATCAGTTTCACCACCATTGTGTCAACTGCAAATTTCATGATTGTGTTTGAGGGGTGTATGGGGATACAATAACATATATAGGGAGAAAAGAGGAGGGGACTCAGCACATAGCCTTGTGGTGTGCCGGTGCTGAGGATTGGGTTTGGAGAGCCAAGTGACACTGTGGGTGGTTTGTCTTTAATCCATATGTGCAGGGAGTTACTGAGACCCAGGACAAGTGTTGAATGCAGAGTCGTAGTCTAAACTGTAGTCTATAAACAGCACCTGTGGTCCTCCTGGGTCAAATTGACCCGGTCTGTTTTGACAGCTTATAAAGCATGAGGTATAAAATGATCACCAATTTTGTTTCGCCTTTTTAGTTAACTTGTTTCCAACACATTAACATGTATTTTACAATTATTTTTGTAATTTATGGTATGATAGACCTAATTTACATACAATTACAAATCATTTTTGATTAAAAAAAAAAGCAGAAATTGTGAATTATTTTCACCATGGTTATGATCAGAGGCATATATGTTGATGCATTATCACTGGTATATGTCAAAGTTTAGTCAGGATATTGTTTTGAAACCATTTAAATTTTTTTAATGGCAGCAAATAGTATAACACGTGTTGTCCTCCCGGGTCAAATTGACCCATCTAGTTCGACTGTTTATAAAGCATAAAGTGTAAAATGATCACACCATTCTGTGTTCCATATTTTTAGCCAATTTCTATCCAACTCATTACCACACATTTTAAACTTCTTTTACACCTCTATTTATGGACAATATACTTAATTTACATGAAATTATACCATGTTTTTGAACAAAATAAGCAGATATGATTAGTTATTTTGGATAACCACTGACAGGTATATGTAAAATATTAGCCAGGATATCCCCAGGTCAAAATTGACTGATGCAATTGTATTTATAAATCAGTAAGTTCAGTAAACAAAAAGGATTTGCAAAGCAAGGCCCTCTTCATTGTGCAGTCTCAGAGTGAAATGTGAAATGCCCTGAGGATGCTGTACTTGTAAGCTCAGTTTTTTTGTTTATTTTTATCTTGTCCCCAATTGGGGAAAGGCATATCAAGGATGTCAGAGTCAGTTGAGTCTAAGGACAACTGGACGTGGTGTAGTTCCTTGAAGATGAAATGAACATGTTTACAAATGTGTAGCTTGCAAATCGTGTGTTGTCTGGAGGCCGAATGCACAGCAGAGGTTGTATATTTTACAAATGTACAAATTCTATTATCCAAAGTGATGCACATCTGAGAGTTGGCAGTTGTTTTGAAGTTGAAGTGTGTGTGTGTGTGTGTGTGTGTGTGTGTGTGTGTGTGTGTGTGTCTGTGTGTGTGTTGTGCTGGAAATAGTGTGACCATTGCAATGCTAAATGTGGCCAGGTCTAATTGACCTGGGAAGACCACAGGAAGACCACAGGAAGACCACAGGGGCTACATTTTTTGTGTGTGTGTGTGTGTGTGTGTGTGTGTGTGTGTGTGTGTGTGTGTGTTAATGCCAATCAGGGCTCTTTCGGACTTTCACATACGAGAGTGTGTGACGGTTGCGTTGAGACCATTCATGGATGACTTGAATAAAACCTTACAGAAAGACAAGATCATACTTTGCAAATTGCCACCACAGAACCATCCATGTAATTTTCAGACAATTATATGGAAGAAAACCAAAACTTATGACATTTTAGATTTCAAAATCGGGTCAAATTGACCCGAAAACCACAGGAGGACGAAATGATAATTTATTTAAATAAATAAATAGACTAAACTGGGCACCCAGACTACACCCACACTCCACAGTGGTTTGACACTGTACTGTGGCTGAAGTGCTTATAATATGCAGCGTGAAACTAACTTAGCCACTCACTGAGAACTAAAGTTATCTGGTACACTGACGTATAGATGTATAGCAGTCACTTTTGGTCATTATTGTGTTTCACATCCTCCAGCAGCTTTATTCTTTTTTCAGTTTCAGTATTACTACCTTGAACTTGTTCCTTATTGTCCTGTGTGTGAGAGTCTGTATGGGTGTACATTTATAGATATAGATATATAGTTAATCAACTTGGTGGAAATAGGTTAGGCTACCTCATACTTTTGGAAAAGTGTTGGACTGAAGGTTCAGATTACATTCTGATCAAGTTCACATTAAAAAAAAGGAACTGATTTTACTTGTGACAGCATATTTTGACAGACCAAACACACAATTGACCCAATGGAAACTGAACACGAATATAATTTAAAGGAACTGGGGGAAAAAAAGGGAGCTTTCTATGCTGTGACATTATCTTATTAAAGCTGTATAAATTTTAGTACCAAGAACAAGATATAAATATAACACTGATATTTCATTATCTAATGATGAATCTGTTAGCAAGCAGCTGCTTATTTACATATTCAGCCGAAATTGAGCAGCATTCATTAGATACCACTAATTCCTACACACTGGTCCTTTTCAATATATAAATGTCTAAAAGCCTAAAGAAACAGTACACAGATAAATAGTAAAAGTCTAACATGTCTCTTCACCACTGACACAAACCACAATCAATAGCCTAACACTAATACACCGACAACAAAAAGAACCACAAGTCTTTCTGGTACACAGTGATACTCTTAACTGCAGTTGTCCACAGGGTGGCGCCATTATATTACATGTGCATGTACCTTAACATAAGACTACAAACACCAACCACTGTTAAACCATTTTGATGTAATGTTACATGTAATATCAGTTTAAATGTCCAAATATAAATATTTAGTATGAACTGAAGTAAAATGATGTTACTCCCCTTGATAAGTAATGGGTATTCAGTATTCTGTATCCTGTACTATATAATTAGCGGAACAGTTTGACAGCACTGTAGTTGTTTATATATAACTGTGTTTATGGACATTACAGATGTTAACAGACCTTTAATGGCATCAGAAAGCAATGACTAATACTGCACTTCTTCAGTTAAACACCTGTTGTAGTTAATAATAGTTAATAGTTTGTGTTTTTTCCAGTCATGTTTGGGATTTCCCTGTCTATATTTAGGTCACAGTTGAACTTTTAAATGCTCACAAACAGGAGAATTAGCTACCGCGATGAGAAGTGTATAAAATACTCACATTGCTCCAAATTCTCATAACAGTTTTTGTCTACTTCGCCACTTTACTCTTTATCTGCTATGTTTAATATGGGAAACCAATAATAATGACTCAACTTATTTAAAATCAAAAAAAGAAGTTTATCTTAACCTGTACAGCAGCAATATACTATATATATATATAATATATATAGACTCCGTCATGAGGTCTTTATCTGAGAAGGATGACACAATATTAATAA